CCAGTGGCCTTGGCAGACCCCAGCTCCCTCAGTCTGAGGGGGAATCTGCAGACATGAACCCCCACTGATATAAATGGATCATCCTAGTTATGAATGGAGAGCCAGAACTGAGTGGGCGGGGGCACGTAGAAAGTCCATTTATCCATCAACTATTTATTGAGGCCTCCTGAGTGCCAGGCCCGGTGCTGGACTCTGAGCAGACAGAAATAGAGGACATGGGGCAGTCTCTGAGGAGTACTCAGACTGGCTATGGATTAGGCACAGATCATTAAGACACACAGGGCTCAGTTTTGGAGTAGCAGGAAGGTTAGAGCTTATGGGCGCACAGGGGAGTACTGTACAATTGAATTTGGGGGCTCAAGGAAGGCCTCAGGACTGAGTTTTAATGAACAATTTCTTCCTTGGAAATAAGTCCTTGGCAGCATAGCTGGGATGGGTCTAGGAAAGTGGAAAGTGCCTTTGGGTCACGTTATCACAACCCTTTGAATCCATGGTCTGTTTGGACCACACTCAACATCTAGAGCATCCACAATGGGCACATTGGGGAAGTCCTCCTGTCTCCTGCCCCCCTGCCCAGGCATGCGACTGCCATGGTATTAGGCCTCTTGTCAGGACGCCGAGTTCCCATGTTAATCATAACAAGCATGTTCAGAGAGGAACTGGCCCAGGCCCTGCCAACAAGCCCTCTCTCTGGCCTTGATAACATCTGTACCGAATTTTCTCCCTTTATATAATTAGACCCGTTGGTATTTGCTTTGACTTTAGGTTACGGTATGACTGGCATCTCTGAAATCTCAGGCCCAAAATATGTGCTGGGGCCCAGGATGGTGGGAAAACTGAGCTTTTGCTGATGGGATTTTAGGTTTAACCAGGAGGGTCAGAAACAGTACACCGGCTACTGTGTGCACTCCAAATGCACAGGCAACCCCAGACTGGCGGGAAAGAGATCTGTTGCCTTGCTCAGGGAGCATGGCTGGGTCAGGCCTGGTGAACAGAAGGATGCAGAAGGACTCCCCTCTTTCTCTCCCGCCTTTCTTCACCCCACGTCCTCTCACCCCTTACTTCATCCCTGGCCCTGGAGGGACAGAACTCAGCAAACAGGAAAGGATGCACTAACTGCAAAGAAATGCAGTGAATCCAGACTTAACCCCAAAGCAAACCTCACACGTGTTGGGGTTTGGAGTCATGCTTTGAAATGACCATCATTGTCTGGCTATGTCCACGCTGAAGAGCTGCTTCGGGAGTGAGATAAGGAGTAGGGCTGGGCTTGGGGAGGGGGATGGTTCTCTCCCAGAGGCTCTGTCCACAGAGGAAGCAAGTGGGCTTGCACACCCACTTACTCCATAACATATCTAGAGCTGGAGCTCAGCAGTGACTTCATTTCCCTTAATTAGGTGTCCGCAAACTCTCTGTAAGATTCCAACCAGTAAGCCACACTGATTACAGTGAGGGAGCCTCTGATATGCTTATTTGCACTTTCCCTTTGGGACCCAACAGGCCCAGCTGAGTGATAACCAGATGATGGAATATTTGCTAGAGGAAGGGAGATGTATTTTTTTAAGATAAGTTTTGATCCCAAGCAGAAGGGAAGTTTCCAGATGCCTCTACCATGTCAAGGAGTGAGGAGTGGCTGATCTCCTTGCCTGTTGCCTTGGTGGGGGTAGTCTCAGTTATCTGGACCCCCCAGGGGAATCCTCTCTTAGAAAGAAGTTTTCTTCTGATTCTTTCAGCCAGAGTATTGCCATTTTCCTCTTGTCTTAAACAGCACTGCTGCTGCTCCTAAAACTTTGTGTGAATGGAAAGTCTTTTGACCAATACAACTATCTAGGTCATTCTGTGTCTTCCTTGGGGAAAGACCCCTGTCTTAATCAACATGCGGTGTCCGTTGAGGACTAGTGTGAGACTCATACAGAATCCTGTTTTGTCACCTCTGCGCACATGGCCCCAGTGCCAACAGGACCAAGGCCACCCTCCTTCACGGGACATTTAAGACCTTCAGTTTGTGGCTCTGATCAAGTCTCATCTCTTTTCTCTCTTTCCCTCCCTTCTCCCAAAGTATCCTTCTATCTATCTACCTTAATCTTCTTTTTCTCTTTGCATGGGCTGTTACCTCTGTTGCAATATTCTTTTTCATCTTTTTATTGCCAGCAGCTCAGAAGCAGTGCTGCATGGTGGCCTCTAGAATAAGACCATATAGGTTTGAGTCCTGGTTCTGCCCCCATTTTTTCCCCCTGAATTGGAGTCTCACTCCCCGCCCAGGCTGGAGTGCAGTGGCACGCTCACGGCCACCCCAGCGTTGACTTGCTGGGTTCCAGCGATCCTTCCGCCTCAGCCTTCCAAGTAGCCAGAACTACAGGTGCACACTACCACACCTGAATAATTTTTTAATAATTGTAGAGACGAGGTCTCACCAAGTTGCCTGGGTTGGTCTTGAACCCGCGGGCTCAGGAAATTCACTCGTCTCGGCCTCCCAAAGTGCTGGGATTACAGGCTGAGCCACCGAGCCTGGCCTGCCTCTGCCCTTTTCAATTGGTGAAACCGTGAGCTAATCAGTCAGCTGCTGTATGCCATAGTTTCCCCACATATGAAGGGAGTATAATAATAGTTCCTAGATTTACTGTGAGGATTCAGAGCACATAAAACACTTGAAACAGTGTCTAACACATAGTAAGTATTCAACAAATGTAGGCTAAAATAATAACGATGGTGATGACCTTCTTTTGCAAAGTATTTTCCAGTCTGCTAGACAGGATTAGCTTTTCTCCTTCTGGACTCCAAATAGAACCAAACACACAAGGTTCTAGCTATTTATTTCACAAGTCTGAATTTACCCCTAGCCTGGGAGCTCCGGGAAAACAGAGACTAAGTCTCAGCAATAAGAAGAACAGCACTGGAAAGACTAGCCTGTAGTTTCAGCGAATTGGAAGGCTGAAGCGGAAGGATCGCCAGAGACCAGCAGGTCGATGCTGGGGTGGCCATGAGCGTGCTACTGCACTCCAGCCTGGGCAATGGTGTGAGACTACAACTCAAAAAAAGAAAAAAAGAGAGAACAGCATTGATACTAGCATGTGTTAAGCTCTGGCCATATTCTTTTTCGTATGTGCAGTTTTTTATTAAGACATAATTAACATGCTATAACATTCATACAATTCAGTGACTTTCATATATTTAATATATTCACAAAGTTGCACAACCATTACCACTAATTCCAGAACATTCCAAAAAGAAACCCTGTACACATTAGCAGTCACTACCCAATTTTCCCTCCCCCATTCTCTGGCAACCACTTATCTACTTTCTATCTCATAGATTTGTCTATTCTGGACATTTCATATAAATGAAATCATTCAATATGCATCCCTTTGTCTCTGGTTGCTTTCACTTAGAACAAAGCCTTCAAGGTTCCTCCATATTTCAGAACTTCTTTCCTTTTTACAGCTGAATCATATTTTATCATATGGGTATACTGCATTATGCTTATACATCAATTACTGGCCATTCGGGTTGTTTTCACTTTTAGTCTATTAATAATGCTGCCATGATCATTCACGTACAGGTTTTTGTGTTCACATGTTTTCATTTATCTTGTGTTTATATATCTAGCAGTAGAATTGCTGGCTCCTATAATACCTCTTAACTTTTGAAGAAATGGCAAAGTGTTTCAATGTATCTGGGCCATTTATATCCCTACCAGCAGCATATGAGGTTCTGATTTCTCCACTTCCTCATCAACACTTGTTATTCTTTTTTTTATTCTGGCCATCATAGTGGATGAGAAGTGATATCTCGTGGTGGCTTTGATTTGCATTCCCTGATGGCTAATAGCATTGAGCATTTTTTCATGTATTTACCGACAATGTGTATATCATCTTTGCAGAAAGGTCTACTCAAATCTATTGCCTATTCTTTAATGGGGATATTTGTATTTTTATTGTTAAATTGTAACAATTTGCCGGGCTCAGTGGCTCAGCCTGTAATCCCACGCCTTTGGGAGGCTGAGGTGAGTGGATTGCCTGAACCCGCGGGTTCGAGACCCACCTGGGCAACTTGGCAAGACCTTATCTCTACAATAAATAAAAAAATCAGCCGGGCGTGGTAGCGCATGCCTATAATTCTGGCTACTTGGAAGGCTGAGGCGGGAAGGATCACCGGAGCCCAGCAGG